ACTAAAATTTAATTATTTGGCCTCAACACCAAACGATATGTCTGGCGGAAATCCAATACAGCTCATCATCCAAATAACAGCATTCCTACAGTAAAGCATGGAGCTGGTAAGATCCTGTTATGGGGGTGTTTCTCTGCAGCAGGGACTGGAGCACTTGTCAGGATAGAAGGAAAAATGGATGGGGCAAAACACTGTCAACTTCTTGAGGAAAATCTGCTGCCCTCTACCAGAAAGTTGTCAATGGGAAAAAGTTTTAGCTTCCAACATGACAATGAGCCAAAGCACACAGCAGAACTGAGCACACAGTGGTTGAAGGAGAAAAAGGTGAACGTCCTTGCATGGCCTAATCAGAGCCCAGACTTAAAGCTGACACAAGGGGGTGATCCTTTTTCCAGCTCAGTGATTCTGTTTTCTTATTTTTTTTCTGACATGTTGGTGTTATATCTTTCACTTGGCTGAGTAAATACAGCTGGATAAAACAAAAACTCTGTCCGTCTTCATTTCAGGCTGCAAAGCAACAAAAAATGTGATTATTTTAAAGGGGGTGATTCTTTTCTATACCCACTGTATCCCTTAAGTATTTAAACCCACATACGAAGCTAAGATTAGAAGACAAGGCGCTCAATTATATGCAGGCCAGATTTTTTCCCCTCCTTCCTTCCACACGTCAGTGAAGTGAAGTGCTGCCGGTGGCCAATCTGCTGTTGCGCGGACTGGATCATAACTTGTCAGCCGCTCCCATTCCTCACATCCCTCCGCGCTCCTCATTGTGCTCTGCTGACTCAGTGCCTTAAGCATCATCCGCTCTCAACGCCACTGGCACAAACCTCGACCATTGTGGAAATTAATACGGATTCAAGAAAGGACACCATGGCCAAAACAGCTATCGGTACGTGCTGCGCATTTCTTCACTTGTCATCTTAATCCATTGTTGCATTTGTAAACGTATTAATGGAAACTGAGTCTGTCAGTGCAAAGCGTTATACCATGCCAAACTGTACGGTGCATATAGAACATATACAATGCTTATATTAACATGTTTCTTATATTATTTACAGCTTATTCGTGCGTACAGTACATTATATACGACCAGAATCTGCGTTATCGGAGGCATTCTACAATAGTAGATTTCGCGTTTTTTTCCTATTTATGTAGTTTATAGCCTAAGCGAAGTGAATGCCATTCGTATTATGAATTAAAATAAATATCGTACGTAAAATTCTCAGTAGTGATATGTATGTATGTATGATGATTGGCGATGGCGCACCTGCTCCTGCTGCCTCACATCATAATGCAGAAAGACCGCACCCAAGAAACACTGCCCAGACAATCTAGCCATAAAACCCCCACAGATACCTCCTTATGGAGCATTTCCCTCAAGAACTCATATTTAACCAGCGATCCTTGCTTTATATGGAATAATCAAGACAATTAGAGCAGCTTTTTGTTGTGCATGGCATCGTTCTTGTTTTATAAGTCAGAGTGCTGGCATCAGGGATACCAAGGTGACAGATTTTCATTCACAATCCATTTGATTTTTAATTAGCATTTTTATGCATTCAGAAACCACCTAATAAGGCTCATGTGAGATATAACACACAGTCCTAGCTCATTCATTACATGCATAATACTGTTTTAATATAACAACATCAATAAAACATTGGCATGGCTATGTAGTTCTCTCTCATAGCTACTTAAATCAGTATTTAAAATAGATTAAAATATAAGAATTTCTCATCTATTGTGTGTTTGTGTTTGTGTTTTTTTTTTTTACCATAGTTAAATCCACCTATATTTTGTTGTGGAGTCATTTCATGACCAGATGGCATGGGCGGATTTCACTGTGATTTTAATGAATTAATTTATTTTTTGGACTCCGGGTAGCCTGCAAAATTACTGAAGCTGTAAAGTCACCTTTCCTAATCTATCGGGGGCCTGTTCTGTCAGGATTTATTGATCAGTGTAAGGCTCCTGTGCTGTGGGCCTGGTTGTTGATATTGATAAGAATGGAAGGGGAGTTGCAGGAGGCTGAACGGACGCAGACTGGGAGACCGGCCAGCCCTGCAGCAGTGGGATGCTGCACATGGTGGCCTTTGCAGCACCGGACACAGAACTATTGACACTGTGTGTGTGGACACCAGTATGTGACCCTGGCAGGAAATAGCTCCTGTGTGGGATTTGGACATCGAAAGTATGGGATTTGTGTCTTATAGCTAATTGATGACTATCATATTTGCATTATTTTTTAAATTTCGTTACACTTGTTTAGTGTGTCCTAGGCTGCATGGTGTCTGACGGTAATTTTCTAGCTAATGGGCTGTTAGATGTGCTTGTAATCTGTAAAACGCTACAGAGGGCAGGAAATGGCAAGTGTCATTAGTGTGCCTCCTGCATTTTTCATGAGTCTGCCAGCTCCATTTGTTTGAATGTAGAAAAGACTCTCCATAGACTCTATCCACTGTAAAAAGTAAAACAACGATTACTGGAGCACATTTTACAAGAAAATAGTATTTCAGTCTTTGTACTTTAAAACTTCATGTGTTAAAATTCAATGTGTTACTTGCCGTGTCTTTATTTACTAGCAATTTATGAGTAATAATTGTTTATAAATAAATTCTACACCAATTTTTTATTGGTATAGGCCTATTGATACTGTTGGGAAATTTCCCACATTTTTATCTTGCTCACTTAATTCCTGATATTCAACTATTTAAATCCACGTTTTACATTGTTCACCGCTGTAATGATAATCATGGCCTTTCAAAAATGAGCTAATTTAGCTAAAGTAGCAGAGTTGATCAGTCACTCAGTTGAAGCGTCATAGAAACAGACACTCAGAGATGAAGCGTGTAAATTG